GAGAGGCAGAGACACAGGCAGAGGGAGAAGCAGGCTTCCTGCAGGGAGCCTGATGCAGGACTCAATTCCAAGACTCCAGGATCACGTCCTGGGCCAAAGGCAGATGCTCAACTGCCGAGCCATCCAGGTGTCCCTTTTTCTTTCTTTTCTTTTTTTTTTTTTTTAAGATTTTATTTATTTATTAGAGAGAGAGAGAGAGAGAGAGAGAGAGAGAGAGAAAGCACACAAGCTGGTGGGAGGGGCAGAGGGAGAGGGAGAAGCAGACTCCCTGCTGAGCTGACTCCCAGGACCTTAGGAATCATGACCTGAGTTGAGTTAAAGGCAGATGCTTAACTGCTTAACCAACTGAGCCATCCAGGAGCCCTGCAGAGCAGCCAGTGTTAATCAGACTGTTTGCAGGCTTGCTGTCAGGCCCATATGCTTAGGTGGTCTTTCAATATGTGATAATACAGTATTTGAGTCGTGCTAACACCTCTATACCGCTGAATGGGTTCATACATGCTAATCCTTATGAGGGAGCCCTAGGAGGGAGGTTTGGTATATGGAGGTTTTGGCAAAGGCCTCTACGCTTGGCCAACTCATTGTCTTGACAGCAATGTGCTGTTGCTATATTTACTGTTCCATTGACCCTTCCTAGTACCTCAGAAACTCAACATTGGTCGACTCCATTGAATTTATACTATTGACCAAAAAGAAGTTTACCAACAGATGTATCCCTCTGGATAGATGTCATTTGGATGGTCCTTTCTTCCTTCACCTGAGATTAGTATGAACAAATATGATTAAAAACTTAACCTTAACCTTTGGTAACCAATGCCAAGTGTACTGCTTAGGCCATGGTTGGATAACAAAAGTCCCTAGACTCTCTTGCTAAGATGGTTTTAGATAATAGAATTGCTTTAGATTACTTGCTGGCTGAAAAAGGATAGGTCTGTGCTATAGCAAAAACTTTCTACTGACTGTACCTGGATCAACATGTCTGATTTTGTAGAAACTCAAATACAAGAAATGAACAAACAAGCTATCTAGCAAGAAAGGGTCACCTCGTCAGGTGTCTTCTTTGATTTACATGGTACCAGTTGGTTTAGTTCATGGGGGCCCTGGGTAAGAGTATACTTTAGCCTCTTGGTGTTATCCTACTCATTGTCAGCATTATCACCTCTCTGGTGCATCAAGTTCTCTCTGAGATCTTAACACCCCCGTTTGCAGCCATCAGCACATCAGACGGTCTCACCCCCTTGCGCCTACGTAAGCAAATCAAAATCTAAGCCTGTAAATATGTCAAGGTCACTAAAGTGAGACCTAAGGACAACCAATTGCAAACAGCCAACTAGGGTTCAAGCTATAGTCAATCAATAATTTCCTTACTTTGCTTCCGCCTCTTCTCTATTAAAGTTTATCCCCAGCTCCTGTCGACAGAGTGCTTCTAACCACTTCTGGTCTGGCGCTGCCCCATTTGAATCGATTTTGTGCAAATAAATTCCTAAAATTTTAATATGCCTCAGTTTATCTTTTACCAGACCTCATTCTGTCTCCACCCTACAAATCTGTTTCCTTTTATATCCCTGAACCAGATGCATGGGGGTTCACCTGGCCCTTCTCTGATCAGCACGTTGAATCCTGCCACACGTCTGCGGATTTTACCCCCTTGTTGGCTTGATCTAGGACAGCGGCTAACCTCTAAGGGGGCTTTGTTAAAAATCAGTTAAAAGGGCCCCCTTTGGGCTAGTGAATTGGGGAAAGAGGCCCCCTCTGATCAGACGCAGCTTTCAGGTGCATGCTTGACTAATAAATTGTGCCTTGGTGATAAGAGGTATCCTGTCCTGGCAGATACCAGGGTGCATGACTCAGCTGAGGGCACAGGTGGCATTTCGCCCCCCAATGGCCCCCTTGCGTGCAGGGAAGATGCACGCACTGTGCTATGGCCCCATTTGAATCTTTTGCCTCCTCTCTCCTGGCCCTGCCGTGGCTGGCTGTCGTAATAAGATCAGAAGATCCTACTGCAGGTGTGGACTGCTTGACAGTGTTCCATCTTTTTCTATCCAGGCTCTCTCATTCGCGTTCTCAGGGCTGCTTCCAGAATGCCTTGCACACTGGCTCCAGGTACTCCGTATGCCTTCGGCACAAATGCAGACTCTCAGTGTGGCACCCAAGGCCCTGGCCCTGTTTCCTCTTCTGCCTCTTCCACCAGAAACCCTCCTTCATGGGGCACTCCCCTGGCCTTCGCTAGGAAAGTCCTAGCTCATTTCTCCTCCCAGCAACACGTTCTAGTTTTTCAAGACTTGACTCATTATCTTCCTTAGAAGTCTTCTCAGTTTGGGTGGCCTCTCTCTTGGCTCTCATCATTCTGTGTTGCAATCAAGACTGGTTAACCCTTAGGCACTGAGGACACACTGCCTCGAACCCACAATGTCTATAGGGGCTCATGGAAGAGAAAAGTGATATTCAAGGGTCAAAGAAGAGACATTATTTTTTCTCACATCAGAGAAAATAAAGAAGTTTGTAGGGTCCACAAAAATCTATTAAATCTTTTTTTTTTTTTTAATAGAAGAAGATACCCATGGAGGCAAAAAGTCCATAGGACCCATGAAAGGCCACAATGTAGTCCTGGTTAGCATTGTTTCTGCATGCTGCAAGACCCAGTAGAGGAAGATCTGCTAGGAGGGGTGGATGAAACACCCCCGCCCCCTCCCTGGCTGTGTTAGGTAATTTTTTTAGGTGATGACAGCAAAGCTTTATCTTCATAGGGTGGCTATGAGGATCAGTGGGTGAAAACGCTTCAGGACTACAGAGCTTGGAGCTGTTTCTGGAGCCATGCAGGATGTGAGCAAGGAGAGAAGCACCACACATTAAAACACAGCTCCAGGTGGCTTTGATACCTTTCTTCGGGTAACAAATAAAATGATCCTGCTTAGGGGCGCCTGGCTGGCTCATGGGTAGAGCAACTCTTGATCTGGGGGTTGTGAGTTCGAGCCCTATGTTGGGTGTAGAGATTATTTAAAAATAAAATCTTTTAAAAATTTTACCCTATTTATACACGTAGAGAGAGAACTGGCAGGACATGCAGCAAAGTGTCCCACAGTGGCCAGCCCTGATCGTGGGTTACCTTTGTAATTTTTTAAAACTCATACCTAGGGGCATTTGAAGGTCAGGTCTGTGTCTCATTTTCCCTTTGTGGCCCTGGGCTCAGCACAAGTGAAGGACATTATGAACTAAGGAATCCCCCCATCTCATGACACTGCCTGGCACTCCATCAGCACCAGGGCCCCAGTCCCGAGAGGCTGAAAGGAGTGCAGCTCCTCCCTGAAAGCAAGGCCCGCGCGGTGCAGAGAACAGAGCTGGAGGGCCGAGACTCAGTTTACCCAGGGTGATCTCTCTCGCAGGTCATAGTGGGGACATCTCTAAATGGTGACAGGCACCTTTAGGCACTTGAGAAATCTTAGTTCTGGGCCGCGTTTCACTAACACGTAAGGGATAGGCTTCCTGCGTTCCAAGTAATTTAATATTTCCCATGGCTCCCGAAGGGCTGGAATTGTTTCCTTTTTATAAGCCGCCGGTGCCTGTTAAGTCATAAACAGTATCAGTCTTGTGTGTCTTGTTCACCGCCCAGCGCCGACAAGCCTGTTGGCGTGCAGCAGGCGTCGGTGGGCGAGCGGATTTGTCAGGGGCGACTTCTTTAACGGGCCGCTGAGTACCTCCCCAGCGAAAAGCATAAAACCCACTTCTAGGTAATAAGCCCCTGCATGGCCTCCGCACCCTGTAATTTGGATCTCTAGGAATCGCCTTTGTTGTGGGCGACCAACCACAGGCAAAGCAAGCACCTGCTCCTCCAGCCGGCCCTCGCGGAAGGACTCCAGGCGGCCGCGCCCTCGGCTGCTTCTCCGGGCCCTTCTCTCCGCTTCCCGGGAGCTCGGGGCCCCTGGGGCATCCCGGGGCTTGGCGGCCAGGGTCCGCCCCGGCGCTTCGCGGCCGCGGGGGCGCGCGTCCCCAGGTGCCCGACACCCCGCCCAGAGTCAGGGTCCGTCGCCTCCCCCGGCCCGGCGCGGGGCTAGGGGGGTTCCGGGGCTGCGTCTAGGGCCTCGCCTGGCACTCGCAGGCCTCTCGGGCCGGAGCCTGAGTCACCGCGGCGCACACGCCCTCTCCTCCCCGCTCTCAGGCTGGGGCCCCTCGGTCCCGCAGCGTCGGGCCCCGGCACCGCCGACTTCTCCGTCTACTGCGCGTCCCTCTTCCCGGCCGGAGTCTCCGCGGCCGCGGCCCCGCCCCGCCCCCGCCCCCGGCCGGCTCCGGGGAAGCTGCGCCCGCCCGCCTCGCCAATGGAGGAGCCCGAACTCCCGGCGCTCCCGGGCGGCTCCCGCGGGAGGGGGCGCGGCCGCCCCCGCGGCTCCACCCTCTGCGCGGGGCCGCGGCCATCTGGGGCCCCTGCCAGTCGCGTCCGCTCTGGGGCCCGCGCCCAGCTCGCGCGGGAGGAGGCAGCCCCGGCGGGGACCCGGGCCTCCCACCAGGCGGTCCCCAGCCGGCGCCGGTGCGCGGAGCCGGGCGCTGAGATGCCCCGAGGGGGCAGTGGCTGCGAGCTGAGCCCGGGTGGAAGCGCGTCGCTGCGTACGCGGGCGCCCCTCGCCACTTCGGTGACCCTTCAGGAGCCGGGACCGGAGCCCCGGAGGCGGCGGTGTGGGCCCGCGAGGGCGGCGAGGTCTGTGCTCCTAACGTCCGGGGCGGGCGCCGGCTGCGGAGCCTCGGGCCAGCTCGTCGCCTCCCGCCTCTCCCCCCAGCCCCCCGCGAGCTGGCAGGAAGAAATAGCGCGCGGCCCCTTTAAATTTACCCAGGAGCCCTTAAAGGAGCCCCAGGGGCCCCAGACAGGAGTCCCCACCCCGGTCCAGCCCGCGCCGCCGAGCGAGCAGCCAGCCGTCCGTGCGGCCAGCCGCCCCGTGCATGCGCCCCGCGCCCCGGGGCCCCGAGCACCGAGCGCCCCGCGCGGGCCGCCGCCGGCCCCGCGGCCCCGCGCCCCGCCGCCCCGGGGCCCCGCTCCGCAGCGCAGCGCATGGAGCCCGGCGGGGACCACCGGAGCCGGAGCGGCGGCGGCAGGGGCGGCCCCGGGCCAGCAGCGGCCTCGGCACGGGGCCGACGGCTGCCGCCCGCCGGATCGAGCGGCGGTGCGGAACCCGAGGAGGACGACGGCGGTAAGAGCTGGGGCCGGCGGCTCGGGCGGGGGCCCCGGCATGGGGGAGGGGAGGGCTGCGGCTTCGGGCTCCGGGCCCCTCTCCGCCGCCGAACAAAGGGGGGGACGCGGGCAGGGCGGCCGGGGGCGCCACCTGGCGGGCGCGGATCGTGGCTGCAGGGCCGGCGGGGGAGCCCCCCGCCCAGCTCCCGGGGTCCGCCCGCGGGGCTCCGGCGGATTCCCTCCCCCTTAAAGGGCCCCGCGGCCCCCGCCTTGGAGGCCAGGGCGGAGGGCCCCCGAAGTGCCCGGCCGGACGCCACGGGGCGCGCGCTGGGCGCTCTCGGACTTGCGCCCCCGCCCCTTTCTCTTTCAGACTCCCAGGTGGTCTCCCTTATCCGGCTGTCTCTTGAAAGTCGGCCCAGACAGCGGGTCCCTTTCGGGGGGCTTCCCCCCACCCCGCCCGAGGGGCTGAGCTGGGAACTCCGCTGCTTTAAGTCGGGCTGCTCCTCCCCTCCCGTGGCCTTGCTTACAGACAGGAAACCTTCTCAGCCCCCTCCCACCACGTTCTTTCTAGGAAAGAGCCTGGCTTGCGCCTCGAGGGGCCCACCGCTACCTTCACCCCGCGGGTAGTTTTTACAGGGATGGGCTCGCTCACAAAGGCAGATACCCACTCCTGTCCGCGCGTTATCGCCTCCCTTCTTTTTGCCACAGTTTGTCAGCTACAGTAGGGCCAGCCCGTCCTCCCCGTTCGCTCTCAGAGGACACTGTTTCTTCATTCCCCTGCTGCAGGGTCGCCGCCTTAAGACCCATGACGTTCTGGCCGGGCTAGGGAGATAGTGCCCTGATCTCCGAGCTCCCCTCCCAGAAACTCCCCATCCCCTTTTGTTTTTAAAGAATCTCAGCTCCTCCCCTTTTTTTTTGGCTCTTAAAGGGACAACCCACCTTAGACTAGCTTAGACCCGGCGCTGGAAGGATGCTTAGAGGCCAGCTAGCTCTCCAGTGCCTTTTCAGACAAAGAGGCTTAGGCCCAGAGAGCCACATGACCTATCAAAGATCACAGAGCAAGTTAGCAGTGAAACCACACAGGAACGGAGGTCTCTGACTTTGAAGCTGATGCTTTTTTCTTTGGGTCTACTTAAAACAAACAAAAAACACAATGGTGACAGGAGTCCTCTCTGGTCCTGTCTTTTGTTTCTCTGACCCCGAGATTCTCCAGTGGACCACACTTGTCCATTAAGCTTATGTGGCCAGGAAACTCTTTTCTAAATAAAATAGGGTCCAAGCTGCAGGGAAAGTGGGGGTACTGCTTGGGGTGCCTGTTTGGCAAAAGGGAACACCACTGGGTTAGTGTGCTGTACTTGGGCCTCTCCCGTGCCTGCCCCTTGATTGCTGGGCAGTGGCCGGCTCTCTGCCAGAGCAAAATATAAATCCCCAGAAAGACTTAATGGGCTCCAGTGGGTGGTGGCCACTCCCTTCTGCAGAATTTTCAGTAGCCACTCTGGTGGCCCTCCTGTCATCCTCTTGCAGGGTCATAGGCTCTCCCAGACTCTAGGGAAGTCAGGGTCCTAGAAACTCCTTTTCCCTGCAGGTGTTGACAGCTTTGTCATGGGGATCGCTCCCATGACGTCCTATATTTGGGGAACTGACAATGCTTAGCACCCCCTAAAATGGAACTCCCAGAAGGCTGCATTTGAGGCACTATTGGAAAAAGAGAGAAAATGTTTGGGTGGGGCCCTCCTGGTGGGGGGCCTCAGACGGGTGGGTCCCGGGTGCAGTCCTGGATGCAGACAGATGCCCCCTTTGTTCTTCCACTGCCCGCTCTGCTTCGGCCGGAACCGCCCCAGCATGCTGCTCTCCTGGCTTCACCCTTACAGCCCTCTGCCAGAAAGGGGGCCATACGGAGCTGGTTTCCTCCTTGGCCTTCACCTGGTTTTTTAAAAACTCAGAGCTCTTTCCTCAGCAGTGTGCCTTGCGTCCTTTTGTTTGTGGTCCTCTCTTAAAAGGGTCCTCACGCTTTGTAAAGGGCCAGTGTTTTAACTCTGGGCTTTCCCACCTCCCTTTCTCTGCAAAATCCAAGCCCTGGGTTCATTTCTTAAGTATTGGACATTGAAAAACTGTCTCCCCTTTCCCCTTCCCAGGGCAAGATCTTCAGCTGGAAGGGGGTGCCTTGGGGTCCTGGGGGAGTGCCCCCCTGCCCTCTTCCAGGGTCAGGGGACCAGCATCTTCAGGCAGGAAATACTCAGACCACTGTGAGGCCCGGGCCTCGAGGCCTGGGAAGAGCCGCATCCCCGGCCGTGACCACCGGCGCTACTACCACGACCACTGGCGGCTGGAGTACCTGATGGACTTCAACCCTGCCCGGCACGGCATGGTGTGCATGGTGTGCGGCAGCTCCCTGGCCACTCTCAAGCTCAGCACCATCAAGCGGCACATCCGCCAAAAGCACCCCTACTCCCTGCACTGGAGTCCCCGAGAGAAGGAAGTTATCAGCAACAGCTGGGATGCCCACCTGGGGCTGGGGGCCTGTGGAGAGTCCGAGGGCCTGGGGGCCCAGGGGGCTGAAGAAGAGGAGGAAGAGGAAGAGGAAGAGGAAGAGGAGGGGGCTAACCTGCAAGCTTGCCCACCCAAGGGTGCAGGTAACACAGGACATGGAGAGGCAGGGACCTGGGTGGTGGCTGGGGCCAGGTGGGGCCAGCCCTGGCTTCTCAGCCAGCTAACTTATTTTCTGGAGTAAGCCATTGCTCTTTTTTTTTGGGGGGGGGGGAGGAGGGACTGCCTATTGCCCTTGTCACTGTACTGTATTGGGGGAGGGACAGTGAGACAAAGGGGTCTGCAACACCCCTGATAGTTTTGGCCTTCCGTGGTTTTAGAAGGATCCGGGAGAGTGGGGGGATAGGCTGGGGAAAGGCAGGGAGTAGAGGGTCCTGGAAAGGGAAGTCCAGGGAAGGGGCTAGAATCTGGGTGTGTTGGGGGGGGGGAGTGGGTGGAGCTTCAGGTCTGCGTGTAGGAGGATTAGGAGGTGGGGGAGTTGAGGCCTGAGGAGAGAGGAGGAGCAGGGCAAAGGTGAGGCTGGGGGCACACAGTCAGGAGCCAGGGAGAGGCCGGCTTGTAGAGGACCTGGCTGTGGCAGTGGGTGGGTGGGGGCTCCTTGGAGGGCCAGCATCTCAGTTCCTTACCTCCCTCCAACCCTTTCAGGCAAAGCCCCAGCCGATGAGGGCAGCCGATGCCAGCAGCGAGGGGGCCTAGTAGCACCCAGGGCTCGGTGTCGGGGTCTCTCAGCCTCCCGCAGGGCTGGGGACAGCAGGGGGCTGGGGGCGCGGCAGCTGGACCAGAGGCTGAAGGAGTCCCTGCAGAACTGGTTCCGGGCTGAGTGTCTCATGGATTATGACCCTCGGGGGAACCGGCTGGTGTGCATGGCCTGTGGCCGGGCACTGCCCAGCCTGCACCTGGACGACATCCGTGCCCACGTGCTGGAGGTGCACCCCAGCTCCTTGGGGCTCAGTGGCCCCCAGCGGAGTGCCCTGCTGCAAGCCTGGGGTGGCCAGCCCGAGATACTGTCTGAGCTCACTCGGTCCCCAGCAGGTGCGGGGCCCATTCCGGGCCAAGACCCCCCCCATATTAGGGCTGCAAAGTGGGGTCTTTGGCCAAAACCGGGAGGGTCTCCTCTCTACATGCACCCACATACCCATCTACCTACCCACAGACACACAGATACCCCTCCTCACCCCCACACCGCTGGGGCCTCTAGATTGGGGCTGGGGTGAGGACCCCTCTGCATGGGTAACGGAACCCTGCCACCAGGCTGAGCCGGTCTCCCTCACCCCTTCCCCAACAGACGATGACCTCGTCCCCCAGGACCTGACCAGAAAGAGCCTGGACCCCGCCCCCACTGCTGGAGCCCTCTCCTCTCGGGATCTCAGTCCCCCAGACGTAAAAAAGGAAGAGGCTGTCTGGGTCCCTGAGAGGCCCAGGCCCGCAGAGGAGGCGGCGGCGGCGGAGGAGGAGGAGGAGGAGGAGGAGGAGGAGCTGGAGGAGGGCGAGAGGGTGGGGGTCCCGGGCCGGTCTCCGCGGGGCCGTCACCACCGCCGCTACCGGGAGCGCTGGCGGCTGGAGTACCTCGTGGAGCTGGACGGCGGCCGGCGCGGCCTGGTGTGCATGGTGTGCGGGGGCGCGCTGGCCTCGCTCAAGATGAGCACCATCAAGCGGCACATCCGCCAGCGCCACCCGGGCTCCACGCGCCTCAGCGGGCCAGCCAAGGCCCTCATCGCCCAGGAGTGGAGCGAGAAGGCCGCTCACCTGCTGGCCCTGGGGCTGCCCAGCCCCGAGTCCCCCGGGAACCCCGCCGCCCCTGCTACAGCCGCAGCCTCCGAGGAGGGGGGAGGGGAAGAGGAGGAGGAGGAGTGGTGGGGTGAGCCGGCGCAGGGCCAGAGCTGGGGGCGCGGGAGAGGGGGCAGGGCCCCGGGCCAGGCAGGACCGAGGGCGGGGAGTGCTCGGGTGGAAGGGGGTGGCCACAGTAGAAGGCCGAAGGGGCGATCGGGGAGGCTGGGACCGGGGGGTCGCGGCGGGCAGCTCTGGGGCCGAGAAGCGGGCGGCTGGTCCTCCGCCGGCTCCATTGCGGTCCTTTGTCCCCTTCTAGGCGATGGCCCGCTTTCCCCAGGGGAACCATCGGAACGGCCCCCCGACGACGACGACGACGACGAGGACGGCCCAGAGCCCGGGGGCCTCGCCTTCCCGCCGCTGCCGCCGCCGCCGCCGCCGCCGCCGCCGCCGCCGCCGCGCAGCCGAGAGCAGCGGCGGAACTACCAGCCGCGCTGGCGGGGCGAGTACCTGATGGACTACGACGGCAGCCGGCGCGGGCTGGTGTGCATGGTGTGCGGGGGCGCGCTGGCCACGCTCAAGGTCAGCACCATCAAGCGGCACATCCTGCAGGTGCACCCCTTCTCCATGGACTTCACGCCCGAGGAGCGCCAGACCATCCTGGAGGCCTACGAGGAGGCCGCGCTGCGCTGCTACGGCCACGAGGGCTTCGGGCCGCCCGCTCCCGCACCGCGCGACGGCGGCGCGGACCTCAAAGCGGGCGCCGTTTGTCGGGCGTAGCGGGCTCGCGGGGCGGCTCCGCCCTGCGCTCTGCCGGCCTTCGGGCCGGGACACCCCGCTTCCTGCGGCCCTCCCCCTTCTCCCCTCCCCGCCCCGCTGGCCGGGCCGGGCGGAGATAGGAATTGGGTGGGGTCGCCGGCCTCCCCTCGGCGCCCCGGAGCCACCCACCCCACCCTGGCCCGGTCGGTCCGGCGCCCCGGAGCCCCAGCGCCCCGGAGCCCCGGCCGTCCCTGCGCTGGGCCCCACGTTTCCCGAGAGGCCACCGCGGCCTCCAGGCGTGTGCACCGAGGGCTTGCGGCCCCGGCCGGCGCCGGGGTGGGGATGCTCAGTATTAAGGCCCCAGGGTGGGGGGAGCGCCGGGGGGCCGCGTGGGCCGGGTGCCGGGCCGGGGCCCCGCCCAGCTCCCTGCGGCGTTGCACGCGGGCAGGCGCGGCCCCCGGTCGGGGGCGGCCGCGCGCGCTCCTCGTTGGTATTCGCGGCGGCTCGGAGGCCTGGACTGCGGACGAGGCTTCCCGCGGAGGGCGGGGGCGGGGCCCGGGAACCCGCCCGGGGGGCGGAGGACACGTGACGCCGCGGCCCGGAGGTGGGGGCGGAGCTGGGTGAGGGCCCCGGCAGCCGCGCCAGCCTCCCCCGCGGGCTCTCCCGCCTGCCCCGCTCCTGCCGCGCCCGCACCACCCCGATCTCGTAAAGGGATTAGCACTTTTCTCCTTTGCTCTGCTGACCTCTGTCTCCCCACTACACCCAGTCGGGCAGTCCGGCTCTCTCGCCCCCGTGGGTCCGAGCCCGGGGCACTGGAGGTCCCGGCGGTTGGCGTTCTATTCCTGTCCCCTCCCTGTCCCCCTTTGTACACGGTGGACGTGCTACCCACTCTCAGCCCCCAAGGGCCTGGGGCCGGGCCTCGGCCTTCCTCTCTTCCCCGCGGCAGCGTCAGGCCCACCGGGGCCGGGCCGGGGCCCCGCGATCTCCCAGGCAGGTCCGAGTGGGATGTGTAGATTCATTCTCCTGTGGAGAACAGGTGGCCCCGAGATCAGGCCTTTTTTGCTCTTTGTATTTTATTTTGAAACTGTATTTAATGCTTTTATATGAGAGGGGGAGGGGCGGGGAGAGAGCTGTCCCAGTCACCCCTATGTGCAAATGTCTTATTTATTATACGTGTATCAGAGATAAGCTGTGAGGCGGTGGAGGAAGGACCTAAAGGAGGAAGGAGTGAGGACAGAGGTGGGGATGGGGGGACCGCAAACATCCTACACTAATGTGTGACTCCAGGCCTCTGCTTGAAACTCTGGGCCCCAGTGTCTGCTTTTCACATGGCCAGGCCGCTTCCTTTGGTCTTACAGCCCGAGAGTGGGGAGGTGGGCTGAGCCTGTGGGACTTGGGGGCAATACCCAGAGGCAGAGGGGGCGCCTCCTTGGGTGGGAAAGCAGACAGCAAGGAGGAAGCCCTTCCTCATCCCAGCACCCCCAGGCTGGAGCCCAAGGTTCAAGTGCCTCAGGCCCAGTCCCCTTGGCTCTTCCTGATTGGGAATTGGATTTTATACCATGGATTTTATAGCATTTTTATATAATTCAGGATTGTCAGAGTTGGAAAGATCTTGGAGATCAATCAGTACCTGCCCCCTCGACCCTTTCACAGGTAGTGAAGTATGGAGACTGCAGTGATCACACACAGCCAGGTAGGAACAGTATAGAACTAGAAGGAAAATCTCGACTCCCGATTCAGAGTTTTTGCATTACACCACACTGCCTCCCAATCTCTGGTCAATTTTTTTTTTTCCCATTGGGCCTGCAAAAGGATGGCACGTGCTGGGTGTTGCAGGCTGTAAAGCGCTGTCGTGGCTTCCTGGGGGTGGTGAAGACCTGCGGCCCCCCTGAAAGGAGTGCTGTCTGGGGTGGCTCTGGCCACTGTAGGCTTCAGCTCCAGGGATCGGGCAGCAGCCTTCTCCATCACACCTCTGCAAGTAGGGCTGGCAGCCACCTGACCCTTGGTCTCTCCAGTAGGGCAGGGGCTCTGGCATTGTTTTTTTTTTTGGTAGGAGAGTATCAGCTATCTGTTGACTGAAAAGCGAATTCCCAGTGTTCGAACCTCCAGGATTTTTGAGTCAGTATTAAAAGCTTGAGAACAGGAATCATGGATGGGATCAAGAATGGCAGCCTGGGCACTGCCATTCTTTTATTTTCCTTCAATGCGTGTTTTCAGATCCAGGATTAGTATCTTACCATATTGCTACCCTGCCTGTTCAAAACCAGAAGGCAGATTGGGGCAACCAATTATGGTCACCCCAAGTCCACTGCCGAAGTTCAGGTAAGCCAGGACAGAGAGCCAGTTAGGGATGGCTTGTCCTTGTGACAGGCAGGGACAGGGGCTTTAGGGAAGACAGGAATGAATGTCTTCATTGAGAGGCAGCCCCAAGCACTCCAGGGGGTTCTCAAAGTGTGGCCATCGGACCAGTAGCATCCCATTAGGAACCTACTAGAAATGCAAATCCTTGGGCCCCATCTTGGTGACTCACTGGGGTGGCACCCAGCAATCCTTTTTGATAAGCGCTCCAATGATCGTGAAGCTGAAGATTGGAGTGCTAGTGGTCTCATTGGCACTCTAGGGATCCCTGCTTAGCCCCTCTGGCCTTTCGGGTTGGGGGGGTCAGGGAGGTCCTCCTCTTTGTGCCTCCTCGCCTTGGGAGTCTGACATGAACAGGTGAAGTTTCTTCATGAATTTTTTTTAATGGTATGCTTGCTATTATGGCCAATATGTAAATGTTACTCTGAATCCATATTTATACGCCACGTTAGTGACATTACTCAAACATTTGTATGTGTATTTGTGAAGTTGTTTGCTTCAATTATTTTTTAAAAATTTCAGCCTAAGTTTTCTAAGAGGTATGTTGAATAAATTTTTGAAATCCAGCTTAAGGGTCATGGCAGCCTTAGTTTTGGGGAAGAATGGATCTGAAGGGATAAAACTCTTTCAGCAATGCCTTGATAGATGTAGTCTCCACTTTCCAAGGTGACTGCCTCCAAGTGCTCTGTGGCTGTGATGGATCGGCTGCTTCACGCTGCAGGTGGGCAATTCTGAGCTTGGTGTGCAGCTGAACTGGGACGGCAGACCCTCAGGCACCTTCCACTCATCTTCTTCTTCCTAAGGTCACTTCCTAAGAGGGTTTCTGTGATCTTTCAGAAACCAAATGCATAGCTTTGCTCCACTATGGAAGTTCTGCAACCTTGGGAATCATTACCAGTATCAACTATTAGTTGCTTTTTAAAGCCTCAAAGGTGGAGTGGGGATGGGGGCTGGTGGAAGCCTGGTTCTTACTTTACCCAAACTGTGTATAAAGAATAAAGTTAGCAGAAAAACACCACAGTTACTGTGTTATTTTTTTCATTTTTTATTAATACCACATCAATTTACAGTTTTACAGGAACCAAGACCTAAGTTCCTTAGGTGCTACTGTATTTTTATGTTGCACGCACATACACGCACACAGTTTCATTAGTAATAGTTCATCTATAGGCTTTTCTTAAAAAAAAAAAAATTCCTGTGTGGCACAAAGATCTGTCCAATTATCTAAACACAGCAGTAACAAAACAAAAGGGCTAGCTATGGAGGCTTCCAGTGCAGAAAAAGGTCCTTTGGAGGGGAAGCCCAAAAAGCTGATCAGTGCACTGACTTCCTGGGAGGGCGCAAAATAACATGGAGAATGTGTTCCTGACTGAAATTTGCTTAAAATTTGAAAAGGGGGCTAGGGGGCTAATAAGAAAATGGGAGTAAGGCAAGGGTACCTTTTACCCGTCTAAATGCTGAAGTAACTTTTCCGAAACAGTAGAAGGAAAAAACTTCCATTACCTTCTACAGAGCTGCAGTGCTAAGGGACCTTCAAAGACTATAGCCCTTACTTTAAAGTCACCAGCGCACATTCCCTCTGGATTATCATGACTAGGAGCAACCTGAAGGAACTCACAGAGGACTTCTTTCAGGTTGACGGAATTTTCACGTCAGAGGGGAGAAAGACACTTATCGCTCTCAACAGGAATCAGATTCCCGGTTGCCCTCCAACTGACATCTGAGTGGTTCTTTATCTTTTAATCATGCACGGAGCCCACCATCATAATCTTGCCCTACCTGGTCACCTTCACCTAACACTTCTTGGAAAACACTCTCAAAAGGAGCACCCTGGGCCATGGCAAAGGTGCTGAGACATCTTATGTGTCGGAAGATGAAAGGAACCCTCAAAACATAAGACACTCAAAAGCTAGCCTCAAAGTTAAAAAACTCTGTACGAACTACAGAACACACTTTCTTACACTAATCTGTGGTCTCTTAACCACAGACAGACTATCTCCTCTCAAGCCAGCTTGGCTTTGGTCCTTAAGGTACAATGATGAGCACAGGTTAAGGATGTAGCATGTGAAGGAGGAAGCTGTGGAGAAAAGATAAAAGCAAAAAAAGGCCTTTTATGTTTCTGTCTTTAGCTCTTGAGAATGTTTCCCCCCCATGGACTGAGACAGGATTATAATAACTCAACAACTGAGGAACCCACATGCAGATTATTTTTTCTCTAACAAGTTTACAGCAGTATACAGCAGTTACAGACATTTATTTCATAATAAGAAAAGTACAACCATATTTATTAAAACTCGAGGTGAGGTGGGCAGGGAAGAGGGAAGAAGAAGCACACTCAGGAATGAGTCCTCAAACTAAAGCTCAGAACTGGTGCCCACAAGAAATGACATAGATGCCACCCTCCCAAATGGCAGAGACTTTCCTTTCCTAGGGGTGAGTGGGAGGGAAGGGTCATCCCAGCCCCACCTTCCATGTCCATCCTTGGTTCCCAGATGGCATTCCAGGAATCAATAACTCTCACTATCATCTACAGGTTGTTCATACAGTTGGAAGTTTTATCATTACGTGAAGAGAAACCATAGGAATAGCTGCTCACGTTGTGGGGCAGGAAGATGGGATCAGAAGGCTGCCAAAAAACCCACAGGAAGGAATCCCACTCTTGTCCCCAGATAATTTCCTCATAAGTTAATCATTATTTCTTAACTTAAAAATAAGGGTAAAACTCTGATAGGAAGCTGCATAAGACTAGTCCTTGAGAACTGGACAGCAGAGTCCAAGAGCAGTGCTTTATCTTTCATTTTCTCCTTGACCTCCAATCTCTCCCCTTTCAAGCTACAAGTAAAAGCTCCACCACCATTAAGGTACTGATTTATCCTATTAATTTGACTCTCTCTTTATTCTTTTGGGTTCTAAGATAATCAGTTCTTTTTTTTAGTCCAACAATTCTTGTGCTTGATACTGAGGGTAAAGGGAAAGGAGGGGAGAAAACACCAAATTAAGAAAAAGAAGCTTGGAATGCAAGCTCGAGCTGACACCGAGCACGTTCCTTCATAGTACAAGTAAAACGTTATAACTATTAAGTGGTGTTTTAGTAGCTGTTGCATTTCTGGTTCCCATGTACTTATTCTGCCTTTTTTTTTGCGATTCCAGGGAGTTTTGCTTGTATCCTATTGAAGAAAAAGAAAAGAAGGTGGTGAAAACACAGGTCTTTAACAGTGACACCAGAATACAGCATTGGACTTGCTGGAGCAACGTGACAAACTCCCATTTCCACAGGACTTACTCTGGAGGAAAAGCGTCAGAGGCCGAGTCTGGCCTGGGATGAGCTGAGGGGTCCACAGAGATTAATCCCCTCTCCTGGTGGCCAGGCCTGTAGCCAGTCCTCTTTCACTATCTGTCCCTCCTGGGTCCTTCACTGGAGGTTCCAGAGAAGAAGGGGTGTCTGGGCCTAACGCCTGCTGTGTTCTGCACACTGGCAGTGCAAGAGCCCATTTCTCTAGGAATGCCAGGTTAGTCACTAGTGCCACAAAAGGAGGCAGGAGTCGAGTCAAAGTGACACATAAAAAGACTACAGGTGCTGGCAAGAGTTCCCAGCCCCTCGTAGGACACCAAAGCTATCCTTTATTTTGTGCATTAAGGTTACACATCACTAAGGTCACTCACATACCTCTCGGCCAATGTCAAAGCCACCCCTCACAAGTATTAGATCCCACAGCAGGGACTGACCAAGACATTAGGTTTAAAGCTAAGCTATGACCATCTTTTACAATCAAGAGTAAACAATCAGATACATATTTGTACTAACTATCCTTGCTTGGTTTTAGCTCTAATATACATTCTAACGCAAAAGAGCAAGTCACGATCTTGGCATCAAGCCAGAGCTGCCTGCATATATTCAGTTTTCACTTTATCAAAACTGGAAAAAGCACTAAAATCTACAGTGTGACAGGGACTGGGGCAAGGAAATGGGGCACCAAAGAGATGCATCTACTTGTGATGTTTTATTTCTTAAATATCTGAATACAGAAAAATGTTAACATTTTAATTAGAAATGTGGGTTCCTTAGTATTTGCTGTAATTAAAAAAAGCCAAAAACAAAACAAAACAACCTCCCAAATTGTTCCTTGATGGGAGTCATAAAAATACCTACCAATATTTTATTACTTGATTTTCATATTAAATTGGTATAAAGAGGAAACAGAGATTTGGTGGTTTTAGGAAAGGTAGCACTGCACCCTGAATCATTTATTTAGTAAAACATTTTATTTCTGAAAAGAGAGGGAAAAGTTCCGCTTAAAACTGATGCATATGGGCAGGCAGTCACAGACACTTAAAAAGCCAATTCAAAAAGGCAAACGTTCTAATTCCATTGATCTTTTTTTTAGTCTAAGACACAAAAGATATTTTTTAAGGAAGTAGGATGAAATAGTTTGCAATAAAATCAAACTATTAACCAATATTTATCTTCAGTGTGAAAATTCCTTTCTTTGAGTCAGTAGGCTACAGAGGAAGCTACAAATAATTGGGGAAGAAAAGCACACATCCCAATAAAACATGGAACTTAAGTACACTTACTTTTCAACAATTGACTTGGTCTGATCGCGGGCAATGCCAACATAGTGATCAATCTGGGTCTTTAAGGAAAGGAAAAAATTCAGTTATGGCAACACACAGATTAACAATCTTTCTGAAGGTAATGTTCCTTTGTCTAGCTTAACTGTTTTTTAAAAACACTATTGCATATTCTTGGAAATGAAAATAATGCCCAGTTTTAAAAATTTACTATTATTTTTAAAATAGGCTCTATACCCAACATGGGGCTTGAACTCATGACTCTGAGATTAAGAGTCACATGCTCTATTGACTGTGCCAGCTCACTGTCCCAATAATGCCAGTTTTTAAGAGTATTTTAAAAACTTCAGGGTTCAGGGGCACCTGGGTGGCTCAGTCGGTTAGGCATCCAACTCTTGATCTTAGGGTTTTGAGTGCAAGTCCTGTGCTGGGACCCACATTGGGTGTGGAGCCTATATAAACAGAACAAACCCCCCCCCCCAACACCCTTCAGGTTTCAGACTTTAAATTATGCCATAAACACCTTATACTCTGTTGACGTAAAAATCACTCATTTCTTTTGCTAAGGTCTTACTTGCTAGGCATTTCCTTTATAGACACTGGAGTAAAGCATTTTCTGAATACTAAAAACTGTGTCTAATCTATATTCTATAATCACAAATGTATTCTGGTTCCTAGGTAAGACTTTTTTTTAATTTTTTTTTAAAGATTTTATTTATTTATTCATGAGAGACAGAGAGAGAGAGGTACAGACACAGGCAGAGGGAGAGGGAGAGGCAGGCTCCATGCAGGGAGCCTGACATGGGACTCGATCCTGGGTCTCCAGGATCACACCCTGGGCTGAAGGTGGCGCTAAACCGCTGAGCCACCCGGGCTGCCCTATTTTTTAAAGGAAGTTGGTTTTTTAAAAAATATTTTACTTATGAGATAAGGAGATAATTTTTTTACTTATGAGATAATGAGAGAGAGGATGAGGCAGAGAGAGAGGGAGAAGCATACTCCCCACTGAGCAGTCAGCCAGACTTGGGACTTGACCCCAGGACCCTGGGATCATGACCTGAGCCAAAGGTAGGTGCTTAACCAACTGAGCCACCCAGGTACCCCAAGACTAATTCATTTAATACCAAAAGGCATAAAAAAGTGTGTTGACTGATGACTTAATCTATAAACAATCTAGCTAGCAAGCATCTTGCAAAGCTCTGCATGCACCATTCCAAAATGCAAACATCTCTTCACACCAGTGGATTCCCATAATAGCCTTGATAGTTTAAATTTGTTTTCAGACACCAGCTCTTATTTATTTAAGCATTTTTTCAACTTTTTTTTTTAACAGATAATGCATCCATATGAAAAACTTAAATGATACAAAACAAGACATAAAATAAGTCTCCTTCCTACACTTCTCTCTAAACATTCAGTTTCTCTTGGTATAGGAAACCACTATCATCAATTTCTTTCAGGCTCCTGACTTATAAAACTTAGACTGCAGGATTGATTAGAAAATGACCACTCATGATGTGCCTGGGTGGCTCAGTTGGCTAAATATCTGACTCTTGGTTTTGGCTCCAGTTGTGATCTCAGGGTCATGAGACTGAGCTGAGCATGGAGCCTGCTTGAGATTCTCTCTCCTTCTACTTCTGCCCCTCCTGCTTGTGCTTTCTCTAAAATAAGTAAATAAGTCTTGAAAAGAAAAGAAGAGATTGCTCCAAACTTTCAATGCCTAAAAAATGAACTAAAGCGGGGGACCTGGGTGGCTGAGTGGTTGAGCATCTGCCTTTAGCTCAGGGCGTGACCCTGGGGTCCTGGAATCGGGTCCCACATCAGGTCCCTGCAAGAAGCCTACTTCTCCCTCTGCCTATGTCTCTGCCACTCTTTCTGTTTCTCTCATAAATAAAAAAATCTAAAAACAAAACAAAACAACCCCCTCCCCCAACCAAGAAACTAAAGCTAGTCATAAATTAACAGGTATATCTAACTGGAAACAGACAAGTGCTTACCTTGTACTTCTCATAGACAATGGGGACACTGAAAATGAGCAGTTCGGCTGTAAGAGAATCACAGGACATGGCAAGTGTAAATGTGAGACCGTCAGAAAGACCCAAGATACAACATAAACGTTTTTCCTCGTAAAATATAGGGAAACATACATCTTCAATTTAAGAAATTCTACCCAGGGCTCTCAATTAAGGACAGTTAGCTATAGGTACATAGGCTACCTTCTGTGAATCACAAATAATTTCCAAATTATGAAAATGGTTTGATCCCCATATTTAAACCAAATGTACACAACTCTACTTCTAGCTATTATGATATTTCCTTAGAGTTAAGACCTTTCAATAAACCTATGGCCACAAACAGGTTCTTCCAACATCTAGTTCAAGAAGTATGGATGTTAAAGGCTGGGCCGCATGGAAGTAGGGGAGGCATTATGGGTATTCTCTTTGCTCCTACTTTTAGTAATTACAGATGACCCTTGAGCATCATGATGATTAAGGCACGGATAGCTGGTGCTGTCAAAAATCTGCATGTAGGGCAGCCCCGGTGGCGCAGGGGTTTAGCGCTGCCTGCAGCCCAGGGCGTGATCCTGGAGACCCTGGATCGAGTCCCACGTCAGGCTCTCTATATGATGCCTGCTTCTCCCTCTGCCTGTCTCTATGAATAAATTAAAAAAAAAAAATCTGCCATGTAACTTTTGACTACCCTCCCAACTTTACTAACTGCCTACTGCTGGTCAGAAGCATTACCAATAACACAGTCAATTAACACATATTTTGCAAGTATTATATATGCTATATTCTTACAATATGGTAAGCAAGAAGAAAGAAAATGTTAGAAAATCCTAAGAGAAAATACTGTACTGTACTGTAAAAACTCTTTGAACCTGTAGTTCAAAGCTCTGTCGTTCAAGGGCCAGATGTACTTCAAAGAGCATTGAGACATTTTCCTTGCCACCTTACCGAGAATCAGAAGGGTGATTCCATTGAAAACGGCACCAACATAGGTCATCAGCCACATGAAAACAGCCAGCTGTGAAGGCCAACAACAGAGGGTTAAGCAGGAGTAATCATAATGCAAAGTTTAGGTCAACTGAGGCCATTCTCCTTGTCGATTAAGACTGCGTAAGTTTAATGATGTATGCCATACGTAATTATAATTTCCCAATGAAGGTTACACTCGTCTGCACCATATACTTGCAGGGTGCATCAGAGAATTCTGTAGTTCTCTTAAGCTCAACAGACTATGATTGCATTCCTGTCAATGACGTTGCCCTTGTTGGGAGGGCATGTAGTTCTACATGTGCAGGAGATGCCTTCTCTATTGACTCCCACCCCTCCCACTTTTCACAGGTTGATTGATTTAAGCAAATATTTTTGTATGATAAAACCCTCTTTGCTGTTTTTCCTCTGAGTTATAACCTAGTCTCTGATTTTCCTCAGCTTCTCCACCAAAAGCTGTAGAAGCAACTAACCTTCAAGGAGTCAACCAAATCTTCCACCAGAAAGAGACGAATAATGAGTTTCAGGGCTCTGTTGATGTGCACCATGGCAGCATTCACGTAATTATGGAAAGCTTCTGAGGACAGAGTAATGTCTACATCCAGGTAGGCTCTTCCAGAAGAAGAAACAACAGTCATACATTTGACAAGGAAGAAGAAGATCTCTTTCTGTTAGTAGAACAGTTTTACAGAGTGTACATTTAAGAAATCTGTAGGGGCATTTTTTTTGCCATCATGGGGGAGCAGGGAGAGGGCTCCTGTCTTTCATTGGGCAGAGACAAAGATGTCAGATGTCAGATGTCTGCTAAGTGTGAGACATTCATATACAATAAAGAATTGTCCTACGTCCTGTGTAACTTCTACTGCCTCATAGGATATTCATGAAGGTGAACCCACTTATAATTATCAAAAGTCCAGAACATATAAAAACAAGGATTTTTCCCCCCTAGTTTTGACATATCCTGAATTTCCTAAACAGACTATTTTGGTTTGTTTGGTATGCTAAACTCTACTACCACATTTTTTATTACTTTAGAAAATCACATCTGAAAAAAAAAAAAAAAGAAAATCACATCTGTTTTGGAGATTATACATCTAAGTACAAGTACCTAATGTCTCTATTGTGGGCGTGCGTGTGTGTGTGTGTGTGTGTATAGCCATGTCCAAGCAGTTAAATACTGACTGGAAATATTTTACTTTATTATAAATGACCTTCTATCTTATCATTCCTTTATATTATAATTATAGTCTATTTTGAAATTTATAGATATCTATGAATTTCATTTCAAAATGATAAAAAAGGCATTATAAAATATTTGCTAACAAAACAAGGAGGGTGGAGAGATACAAAGTTTGCAGGGTGGACAACTATAGAAAAAAAGACTTGGGTTCTGTTCACAGATGAACTACAGAATTGAGACGTAACCATGTGCTTGTAACTTGTTCTTTCACTAAGTACTTACTGAGTGCTTACTGAGTATCAGACCCTCTGCTATGCATAGGGCAGATCAGGAAAAAGATGAAAAAGATGACTGCTTTTGCCTTAAAGAGCCTACAGGCTTGTGGGAAAAACAGAGAAGGAAAGGCATGCTTTCCTTTCCTATTTATTAAGAAATATTTACTACCAAAAGTTATAAAAATTAAATGCTGTAATTTGTAAAATTTAACAAAACACAAATCCACAACAGTGTCCTGCAAAAGATGAAAAATCCTGCTAAGACATCTAGTTTATGGCCAGTCACATTTAGTCATTCAGTAAACAGCTACTGATTTGTTAAAACCAATATGTGATAACTCCATGCACCGGGAGCCCGACGTGGGATTCGATCCCGGGTCTCCAGGATCGCGCCCTGGGCCAAAGGCAGGCGCTAAACCACTGCACCACCCAGGGATCCCTGTGATAACTTTTTTAATGCCACATATAGTTTAAATGGTCTTCTATTTTCACCAAGAGAAAATAAAAGGACTAGAGCTATTCTGCCATAGTCTTGAGACACAGAGTTTCTTTCCCTATGAGTAAAAGGTTTTGAAAAACTGTCATTTGCAAATGTTAAAATTGTTTATGGCTAAGATTTTCAAGAGGAAAAGTGTGAGGAAAACTTTTGTTAAAAAGTTACAGCACAGTCAGAAAAGTAAGCAAGTGGATTCTAGAAATGCATGACCTACTGACCTCAGGACTTGCTCCTGATATTAAGAAAACTAAAGTGGGGGGAAAAAGTAATAAAACTAAGAGTAAACATAACAAATTCTAATAGTGCCAAGTGCACAGCCTCAATACTGAGACTTCAAAGTTTTTTTAAGATTTCCCTATGTGGGAGCTTAAACACGTCCTGGGACCCCACCTAACTAACTGGGTGCTGCCTGCTCAGGAATTCAGTCTTCTTCAGTCTTAAAATGTGAGCCTCTAATTTGTCAAAATGTTCTTGGCTCCTAACTTGGTCACTTTTGAAGTGACAAGGCTTCTAGCTGATGGTTCATGCAAGGGATTAGCTGCATCAGGCCCTGTAATTCTTCACTTAGTCAACTGTAGGGTGTTACTTATGATACTTCCACTCACTTGAATGGATGGCCCTCTTCTGATTTCTGTACAGCTTGGATGACAGACTTGTACACTCTGAAGCTGATGGTGACAGAGAGAAGAGCCAGGATGAGGTAAGAAACCACACTGATGACACTGAAAGCTGCCAGGGAGAGCAGCATGATCAGTGTGGTGCCAAAGACAAACCCAGTCTTCTTCACATCTCGCCAGAAAATCAGATCGTGCACTGCCAAAAGAAAAGGAAGACGGGTTACATGTGGCCACGTAGCTAGGACTGCTCTTTGGCTGTGATCTGCTATCTGAAAAGCATCACACCAGCATGCTTTACAGGTGCATCCCTCCTTAAGAGAACCTGAGAAATGAAAATTATATGTCAGGAGTGATGTTCATACCGCAAATGTTGCTGTGGTTTCCGGACAGGTTCATAAATACTTAGAAACTTATTTTTTTTAAGGTTTTATTTATTTATGAAAGACACAGTGAGAGGCAGAGACACAGGGCAAGGGAGAAGCAGGCTCCATGCAGGAAGCCCGATGTGGGACTCGATTCTGGGACTCCAGGATCACTCCCTGAGTCAAAGACAGAGAGACACTCAACCGCTGAGCCACCCAGGTGTCCCAAAACTTATTTTTTTAGAGATGGCTACTGAAGTACAATGGGGCAGAGTGTCAATTTTTTGAAATGTTTCAGCAGAAAGGATGTAGAGTAAGTGTTATAAAATTGGTAACTGTTAACTAAATTAAGCAAACCATGTTGATAAGTTCATCTGATCACTATAAAACCAAAACTAATGTATGTATAAATTGGGTGGGATCAGAAGAGTGTGCTGGATAAAAACAAGCTAAACTCTATTAGTGTTAGTTACAATGAAACACCAGAAGGATTACTGGTAGGGGACTACGTCACTATCTAAATGGCAATACCCCTGAAAATGAATGCAGATACTATTACTAATTGTTAGGAAATAGGTAATAAACCAAGACCGTTTTAGACAAGTGGGTATTATGGAGGGGGATATCCAAACTGGAAAAATCTGAGTTCTTCTACTTAAAGACACCTAAAGAATTGTGTGTAAATCTAGCAATGACACTGTATTTGAATTACAATCTGTAAAGGTTAACTTCAACACTAATGGTCCTATTGCAGGTTCCTTCTCTTCATAACGGGCAAGGGCTTTGGAGCTGGAAAGACAGGAGTTTGAGTCCTGGTAGTTTTTAGCCTATTGTCTTAAATGACCTTTCTAAACCTTTGTTTTTTACTTTTTATAAAAAAAGTAACATCTATTGTCTAGAGTTGCTTTAAGGACTATGCCAATGTAGTAGAATGCTTAGCATTGTAAATGACATGTAGTAAGCACTCAAATTTTAACTACAACCAAAATATGGTAGGCCTTTAAGACTGATTGAGGGTAAAATAAACTTTATCTGTTCAAGTGAGGCCGCTGGTCCCTAGTTCTTACCCATATCCTAGCTATAGTACTTGCCTCTGAAGCCTAACCTTGCTAGACCCAAAGGAACCTAATTTTAAAGCTTTCACACTAAAGATATGCCACTGATTGTATAGAAGAAATAATGACTGATTCAGAAATTTCAGCCAAGGAATGTGACACTAGGAGAAATAAGAGGCATTATGATTCCTGATGGGAAGCTGAGAGTCCCAAGTCCCAGATAGTGACACTGCAAAGGAGAGAGAGCTAGCTGTGAGGCAGGCAAGTCAGGTTCACCTGATTGGACAGGGAAGCTGAAGAGAGTGCTGTCTTCTTATAAGAACAAATACTAATAAGCAGGATTCCTATAATCAGAGTCCAAGTATATAGATGTCACGGTTCCTAAGACCACAAGCACAGTTGCAATACGAACGCTTTGGAATGAAATAGGTATCTTGTGCCTCTTGGTGTAATGCACTGAGGACACAATCTCACTTCTGCGGTGTTCTTGCAAAAAACATAGAACATAGATCTAATAAGAAAACACCATACAGGGCGCCTGGGTGGCTCAGTGGTTGAGCATCTATCTGCCTTCAGCTCAGGGTATGATCCTGGTTCCGGGATCGGGTCCCCGATCAGGCTCTCTGTGGGGAGCCTGCTTCTCCCTCTGCCTATGTCTCTGCCTCTCTCATGAATAAATAAAACCTTAAAAACAAACAAACAAACAAACAAACAAACAAAACACCAGAGAAATCCAGACCGAGAAATTTACAACATGGATGGATTTAGAGGGTATAACACTAAGTGAAATAAGTTAAACAAAAAGACAAATAATGTACGATTTCACTCATATGTGGAATTCAATAAAACAAATGAACAACAAAAAGAGACAAAAAACAGACTCTTAACTACAGGGAACAAACTGGTGGTTGCCAGAGGGGAGGTGGGTGGGGGATGGGTGAATAGGTAAAGGGTATTTAGAGCAGGTACACTTACTGTGATGAACACTGAGTAATGTACAGAACTGCTGAACCATTGTACTGTACGTCTGAATTTTTTAAAAAAGATTTTATTTATTCATGAGAGACACACACATAGAGAGGCAGAGACACAGGCAGAGGGAGAAGTAGGCTCCCTATGGGGAGCCTGATGTGGGACTCGATCCCAGGACTCTGGGATCACGACAAGCCAAAGGCAGACCCTCAACCATTGAGCCACCCAGGTGCCCTTACATCTGAAGTTACTGTAACATTGTACTTGATTATTCATCAATAAAAAAATAGCAAAAAATAAAGGAGAGTAAGATTTGACAATACACAAATGCCAAGTGTGATCATAGACTGGACCCTGGATAAAGGGGTAAAAATGGCCTACAAGACACCACTGGGACAACAGACAAAATTTGAATGTGGACTATATAACTGATAAAAGCACAGGTAACCCCTGAATAAGTGCATAGGTCATTTACATGTGGATTTTTTTCCCCAATAAATACAGTATAGTTCTTGTAAATGTATTTTTTCTTTGACTTCGTTAACATTTTCTTGTCTCTGGCTTACTTTAAGAATACAGTATACAACGCATATAACGTACAAAATATGTGTTAGTTGACTGTTCACATTATTGGTAAGGCTTCGGATCAACAGTATGCTTATTAAAGTTTTTGGAGAACCAAAACTTGTTTGTGAATTTTCGACTAACATGGGAGTCAGTGTCCATTACCACGAGGCTCAAGGTCAACTGTACTGTATCAATATTAAATTTCCTAAATTTAATGAGTGTACTGTGGCTATATAAATTCTTAAAAGTTCTTGTTCAAAATCAAAGACAGAAACAAACATTACAAAGTAGGGGTGTAAAGGAGCAAGATGCTTGCAACCAGTTCTTAAAATAGTTCAGAAAAAACATGTATCTATGAAGAGGGGAAGGGAGAAATAAAGCAAAATTTAACAACTGGTGAACTAGAGTAAAGGTTATATGGGAGTTTTTTGGTACTATACTTGCACTTCTTTAAGTTGGAAATATTTGAAAGAAAGAGAAAAAAGAAAGAAAAGCTTACGGTAAGATGGGGGCCCAGAGAGAAAAAGACCTGAATGTATCAGCGAGTAGGGTAATGACACTAGTCTATATGCAAACTAGATTAGGAAAGCCACCCTGTCCTCATGAATTTTACTGTCATCTGCTGAAAAACTGTCACAAGAAATAGTCAAACCTACAGTGGTAACACATGTGAATGGTGCCCCCTAGAGGTGTGCACTATGCATTCTGTACAACAGTATAGAAGGCCCTAGGCTGGGCTTTAAAAATCAATGGTAGAATTATGGTCTGGTCTAGAAAAGGGATGCACTGATTAAAGGGCGGATAATGGAGGGAAAGGAAAAGCTGGTTCATCCCTCACATCTCTGGGATGCTCTTCTTCCACAATCTCACATGACTTGTTCCTTCATTTCATTTGGGTCCTGGTTCATGGGCCATTTCCCTCAGACTGCACATCCCACCTAACATCCCCATCCTTTGGTCACATTCCATCTTATTATTCTGCTTTATTTTTCTTCAGATCTGTTAAGTGCTTAAAACATGGGCTAATAACTAGAGTTTCATTTGTTTCCTGATGATTTCTCTGGAGCTTACCTCCCTGGAGGTAAAGAGCTTGGATTTTTAACTTCAGGTGAAATAGGAAGCCACTAAAGGTCAAGCAGGGGAATAGCATTGCATTGTATTTATTTAAAGACTTCTTTATTCATGAGAGACACAGAGAGAGAAAGGCAGAGACAACAGGCAGAGGGGAAAGCAGGTTCCTCACAAGGAGCCTGATGTGGGACTTGATCCTGGACCCCGGGATCACACCCTGAGCTGAAGGCAGACATTCAACTGCTGAGCCACCCAAGCGTCCCATATTGTATTTTAAAAAGAGGAACATTTTTGCTGCATAGAAAATGGATTGGGGGGGGGGGGGACGCCTGGGTGGCTCAGTGGTTGAGTGTCTGCCTTTGGCTCAGGGTGTGATCCTGTCCTGGGATCGAGTCCCCCATCTGGCTCCCTGCAAGGAGCCTGCTTCTCCTCTGCTTATGTCTTTGCCTCTCTCTGTGTGTCTCTCATGAATAAATAAAATCTTTTAAAAAGAAAAGAAAAGAAAAAGAAAGAGAGAGAGAGAAGAGAGAAAGAAAGGAGAGAGAGAGAGAGAGAGAGAGAAAGAAAGAAAGGGAGGGAGGGAGGGAGGGAGGGATTGGGGTAGGGCAAAAGTACAGGCAGAGACTCTGTAGGAGGCTATGATGGTGCTTCGAGTGGAAGATGAGGGTCATTTAGATTAGGATGGGGGCAATCAGGATGGAGTGGACAGATCTGAGCTGTATTTTGGAGGCAGAACAGAGAGAACCTGGTGGTGGAGTGGATGTGGGAGATGACAGATGGGAAGAAATGGGGATAAACCGTACGTCTGGGGCCTGAACAAATAGCTATGGCGTCATTTAATAAAGTGAGGTAAGGAAGGGCAGATTACAGAGCCTGTTAATTTTGGGATGAATGTGTAGAGATCTGTAATTAATGAAAGCAGCTAAATCCACCAGTGTGCAGCACACAGGACAAGTATGAGCTAGAAACATACATCTGGAAGTCACCACAAACAAATATTTAAGTCACAGAAATTGATGAGGTTACCTAGTATTGATAGGGAAGGAGGCCCAGGTCTTAACTTGCTGGTACTCTAATATTTAGTGACAGGGTAAAACTAGAGGAGCTAGCGAAAGGGACCAGAGGCAATAACCAGGGAGGTAGGGGATAACTGAGTGTGGTATCACAAA